CTTTCCAACGTGCGACTTTTTCTTGTTCGATCGACTCAAAAAACCACTTCGAGGAACGCGTTTTGCTAGCACTGAAACCATAAAACAAAAATCGCAGGCAGAACTGGTATCTACACCAAAAATAGAATTCCAAAAGTGCTTTGAAATCTGGATCATGAAGGCGACAATGAGATTTATGATGAATAACATTGTATTTCTGATTCTATAAATAAATTCTTGAAACTTTTTGAACATGGTAGTATTTCTCGTAATTATATTTTTTACTGTAAAACAAGTTGAATCGATCAAGGAAATGATTAAAAATGGAATGAGTCACTTTCAAACATGAGACGATGGCAGAATTTCTTTCTCAATCATCTAACCAAATTAAGACTTCGAAAGTCCATATAACGTTTAGACAGATTGGTCACAGGACCACACATTTTCCGTAAACATGCTGCGACTCAACCAACGAAATGCCTATAATTATCCGTCATTTCAGGAAATGTCCTACGAACAGCTTTCAGAAATGACCGTGTTCAAGACGTTTTCCGGAATAGAGACAAGTTTGCAGTGGATCGTTAAGGGTCGAAAAGGCTCCGTGGCGGGCAGAAGTGTCTGGCCGATAGTATATTTGTCAAGGGCGACGAGAAAGGGCCGAACGGAGGGACGAGGCAGTTTCAACTTTCGACCACGTGTGTCTCGCATTACGGACGTACAACGTACAACCACCCATCCCCCCAAGGCTTCGAGATTTTGCGCACATGCCTGAACGCCCGTTTTCGAGAGTGCGTCTGCCCCCCGTTCCAGTCAATTATTATTGTTCTCGAGTGACCACTTCCGGTCTTCTTTCACCAGTAACTTCTCTCCGTTAACCATGCAGCTACTTCCGATCGAAATTCGATTACCTGACTCCCTTTCTTCGCGACGGTGATTTCGTGTTTTCTGTTTCCTGTTCAAGATGGTACCGACCATTCACTCTCACTGGGATCGATTTTTATTCGATCGGCAGAAATTCGTGATGTGTGTTTATTACGATGACGGTGGCATTACTTGATATTACCCTAGTAGCATTTATGGTTGGCCAACGGTATCCAACAGTTGGGAGTTAGTTGGGTTATAGTTAATGTTTTTGCCTACAAATTTCCAAAATAGGGCCTACGACGAAAAAGTTATGACAATTTGCCAACGAATATCCAATGTTGGGCCTACAATTATTATAGTTGGCTAATTAACAAGAAATTTACAATGATACAACATTGGCCCACCCGAAGTTTGCCAATATTTAAATATCGTCTTAAAAACGTCAAGAACGTTGCTACAACCAAAAACTCGTTATTATATTTCAAATTGATTTTTTTGTTTTCTTATTTATGAATATACTCACAATTTGTTAGTGTCGCGCAACACGTTTGACATTTGACATTTTGTGAAAATAGAGTCAGGGGACAAAAGATTGGAAATAACTTATAATACTTATTTGTAATAATTAGCTACATGTAAAATTGTACATAATAAATTGTAAAGGTAACTTTGCTGGTAAAACACTTGTTTACTTGTTTAATATACATGTACAATTTATACATGTATATAATTATTATAACAAGTAATTATTATAAATATTATTTCCAGTGTTATATTCCTTCAAATATTTGTAAAGGATTTTATGTAAGTGTAGTACAGATTTTATGTAACTGTCTTTCTATTGTTGGTTTATTGTAAATACTCAACAATTGGCCCTACAGAAAGAAACCTCCAGTTGGGCCTTCGTAATATAGTGACGTGGGCCCCACGTTGGATATGACTGTTGGTCCAGTTGCAAAAAAGAGTGACAATTGTAACTGTTGACCAACCAATAGTGCATCAAAGGCCCATCAAAATGCCAACAGTAATTGCTACTAGGGTAAATATCTAAATCTGTCCATAGTACTATGAATAAAAACCAGTTGTCCAACATCAAATGTTGCCATGCTGCCCTCAAACCATAATAGTACATGCAAGTTTAACGATATTTACCAAATTTTATGGTTATAGTTCCGAATTTCTTTTTCTCGGACATGTTGGCTGCCAATTTATTCCAAAAATGTTAAAATAATCATATCTAACTGTATTACTACCATGATCAATAGCAGGATCCTACAGAAGTACTACCACGAATCTCACCTTTTGTAAGGTGTACACTTAATAGTTTTGACTCTCACTGTATGTACATATATCTATTGCGTTCGTTACACCTCGGACGGTAGACCGGCGCCAAGGGCATGGACGGTCGGCCGACACCAACAATAAAACCTCCGCTAGGGGGAAGGACATTACGTTGCCTCTGGCGAGAGATTATTTTCTTTACGTATAATGACTTTATCCTCTAATAAAAGCAATAAATATTTTATAATTATATGTTGGTGTACACGAAAACCAGGGCTTCTGATACAAAATATTATTAACTTATTTGTTTCCCGCCAGTAGACTATAATTATCAATTAAAAATGTCAATACTGGTATAACGTTGCAGGTCTAAATATTCTGTGCATGACAGCATAGGGGAACCTGTTGTACCTTAGGTATATTCTTTGTTTTTATTCTTTTTTTTTTTTTTTCAAAAATCCTAAATAATGTACGAACTGTATAGATTGTATATAGTTTCCTGATTAATAAGACACATAACATAATTTTTGTAGAATCATTCCAATATATTTTATTAGAAGTATAAATGACTGAAGAAAAAACAACACCCCGTATGTACCTCACACCTAATACTTGTTTCTGATAATTATGTATAAATATATATTTTTTGCTTTACAATACTATTTATAATATGCGAAGTACTAGGGTTACTTAAATCTCTATTCTTATAATTATTTTAATACCTTCTTAATCAGTCTTTACGGTATATCTAATATTTCTATAATTTTTTTATTCCGTTTTTATTACGGGGCACCTTTATAATTTGCTTACCTGTTTAGATGAAAAAAGATAAAATGTCGGAAAAGAAAACAAAGACCTGTCCAAGGTACAATACAATTTTTAGGCCCAAGGTACAATACTTTACAAAAATTACAAAAACAACTTCGTGTCACTGATAGATTTGAGATTAAACCCTTCCTTCTACAAGCAATCTATGGCTAAATAAGTTACGAAACTATATTAAAATAACTGGTTGTAACGTTATGAACATAAATAAAGTTATTTACAAAAGACGAAAAAAGAATTTTATATGTTGTTTAACATAAAAATCGTCTCAGTTCAGAGCATAAAATTATTTAAACGTCTCTTTCATTAAAAAAAAGTAATTTTAAGCATTAAATATGAAGAATTATAATTAATTCTAAAAATTGTACTAAAAAGAGAGTCGTAATTTTAGTGTTCAACCTATATCTATTGTACAAAATGAATTGTTGAAGAGTATAAGAATTAACTTTAACTTTCGAGGTAATTATTATAGGGACACTGGAATTGCTCGCAGATTTTAACTAATTATATTAATAGTTAATAATTATATTAATAATTAATAATTAATTACCTCGAAAGATACAGTAAAATTACAACTCTCTTTTTAGTATAATTTCACCATCACTTCCCACTTACAGTCGTGTTTCTAACGTTCAAATTGCATTTTCATTATTCAACATTAATTCTTAAATACTAGGTACATACAAGTACATATATTTATTTGTTTTTATATAAATCAAAGTCCCAATATAGTAATAAAATGTTGTGTACACAATTCTTTATATGTGTCGTTTTTATTAAATGAAACAAATAAAGTGGTAGGATTAGGGACACTGACATTAATTGAGACATTTATCATAGGTTTAGTACATATATGTAACAGCCAGTGTCCGAAATCCACGGAAACAAAAGTCCATCAGATGAGAGCGAAGCACGCTTGCGTCTATTAATAGATAATCTCTCCCAGATACGACCTCGATGAAAAAAGGTTTCGGAAGAAGCCGCAAGGACCGAGAAAAAAAGCGACTGACAACGTGCAGCCGCACACGTGACGTCGTGGGAAAAGCGAAGATACGATGAAAAAAAAAGGAACGTGGTCTGAAAGAGAAGCCAAGTTTGACGGCGCCGCCGTAACCATCGCCGCGACCCAAATCTCGAGATTAAATCAGATCATCCCTTCTTTCTTTCTCAGGGTCAACTTCTTCTTACCGTGCATAGAATTCGGCGACAGGTGTAATTATTTTTTTCCTTTATAACCAACCTTCGAGGTACTATTTAATTAGTTGATGAAGTTTAAGGTGGTTCGTGCTAAATTCGAAATAATAGATAGTTAAATAAAATTCATACAGATTGTTTATTAGAACGAAATACACACACAAAGAAATTTGAAACTCGGTCGTCGATCAAATAAATAAGAAAAAGCTTGTCAAAAATTGAGCTTTCAACACAGCTCTTATAGCAGTCTTACGATTTCTTACCGGAAGTATAATTTTTTTCTATTCACAAAAATTAGAAGTGCTAACTAAAAACTAGATACTGAAAGTATAAATCCTGAGCTTTCTGATAATGAACTAAATCTTGTACCATGCTGAACATTCCAGGAAGATATTTGACAATAAATTATTGGATGGTTATTGGCCCAATTATTGGGACTATGTGATACATTGTTGGATACGTTTTGATCTCCTTTTTGTAATGGCAAACAAAAAAATAGAACATTCCATTTAAATAAACGTTACCGTTAGGGAAATCTTAGAAGATATGACCTTGAGATGACCTTCAATCTCATAGCCTAATTTCCACCCTAAAATATACACTAGCTTTCTCCCAAACCATTTTTTTGTACCGTGACACATGAGAGAATAATTAAGGGTGGCAGAGTTAGGTGGAACACCCTGTATACATATATGATATATCTAACAAGGAATTGAAATGTACATTAGCATTATATACAAAAATAGAGTATCTACAACACCACTTATTCGGGTATCGACTGTACTGATTTTCGAATGGCACCGATTATATGGACATTAATGAAAACTGATGAATTGTTATATATTTAATAAACTTACCAAGCATTCGCAGATATGCAACAGCTGTCAAGTCCCTGATGCCAACCACCTTCGATGAATCTGCAACGAAAGTGTAGGATCATAAGTCTGTGTACTTATACTAATGCATATCATTTACAAAATATTCAATGGTCAGAACACAATAAACGAATGACACGACACGAGTTCACCCGATACATTTTTTGGTACAATTCTTCTTATTTTGAACGGTGTTTATTTAATTAACAATTAAAAGTTACCATCCGCTAATTATTCACGATGATGTCATTTTATTAAATACATATATATGTGTTTACTTCACAAGGCTTTAGAAACGGTGAAACTGGCCAAAAAGTGGTGTCATATGGTAGAATATACCTATTACCATCATTATTACTTTTGGTCGTTAAAATAACAACGGTGGGATATTTATTCGTTTATGTCATACAATAAATAAATAAATGTGACTTGATTACCATCGAAAGTTTCTTATTATAGTGTATGGAGGATAAATAATACAATGGCATTTCGTCCTAAACAATTACGTACCTATCGAGAAATCACTGCAGGGGGCGTAGTAGCTAGTTTAAGTTCAACTGATTACTTGACTAATAAGTTTTTAACAAATTTCATTTTTACACATACCTCTGCAATACAAGATGAGCAATGCGAAACGAAGTATCTAAATACCTGTGTTAAAGTTGAAGAAAGAAAAAGTATCGTAGATCAAAGTTGGACTGTTCCAGTGCACAGATACACTGATAGAAATAAATTTCATTTATTTCTGATTTCAGAACATTGTGAGCCATTTCAAATATATTCAATGAAATACAGCATCATAACGTCCAAATGACACTGAACCCATAAATTTAGAATTAAAATATGAAAATGTTGAAGTGTTCAATTATTTTATTTAAATTAAATTAAATGTTCGGTAATTCAAGTTAATTAAACTTTTTATTAGAAAAGGTTGTAAGTAATCGCCGCGAGTAATATGAAAAAGTGGTCATTTTTTTTCCTCGACGAGGTTCCCCGTGTACCTAAATCGTCCTTGGTCTTGCACCGTGTCCGGTACGGTTTGAAATTCGAACGCAATTGTCCAGCCCGTAAATTCATCTGAAATATCCAGTTTCATCGTTAAAAACTTAAATTGGGAGAAACCTTTCCGTTCTCACATTGCGATAGGCAGGTGAATATCAAGTTTCAAGGGTTATTAATCAGAGGAAACCTCACATCATAACCCCGTGAAACTCTACTCGCGATTTATTGCGTTGAATCCTTGTTTCTGCTTCTCCATGATTCACTGATTGCAAATGATTCTCCCTTAATATTACTTCTCGAAATATGAAAGACCAATTGGATGTATGCGGTTTGCTTTTTACAATTTACCTACAGAAAATCGGAACATTAATATTCCAGAAATGATCGAGTATCAAAACTGCCAGCGTTAAATATGTACTGAATTAAATATATTAAGGGGTCATGCTTAGGTTTAAATCGATACTTTTACTCATTGCTAGTATTGTATGAAGGAATCGATACTTACTCGGTATTGAAACAAAAGTATCAATACCAAAAGTACTCGGTATCGAAATCGTATTTACTTGTATCGATTCATTCCTAGTCGTAGGGTTGAATCGATACCGCCTAGGTATCGATACTTACTCGGTATCGAACAAAAAATATACCTATTAGTATCGAATTATATTTTCTTAACCTTGATACCCAACAAAGAAGTTGTTTATACCTTGAGAGAAAATAAAATACAATACTATACTTTGTACATTAATTTAAATATTTAATATAAGCATATAAACAAACATATGTATAAACTATATACAATATACATAATAAATAAATATGTATGTAGG